AAAAATATCAAAATAATTTCAAAAGTAACCCACTACCCTCTTCTACATACTGACCGGGGATCTTCTCTTTTATGTATAGCAGCCTTGGGGAGCATTTGTACACCTATTGCCATAGAAGAACTTTGGGACAATATGTAGTGTAAGGTAGTGACAGGGTTGGGTAATAAAACCTACATGAAATGATAGAACAATACAAACCAAGACAAAGTTCTTCTATGGAAATGTGTACAAATGCTTCCCAAGGGTACTAGATATATATTACCCCAGGGGTCCAGGGGGCAGAGCCCCCTGGCTAGGGAATATATACCACGGTTAGGTTAGGTTAGGTTGGATGTTGGGTTTGCACAAGGAACAATGCCTAGAATCATTGAAAGCAGTGGATTTCATGCAGAAAAATATCAAAATAGTTTCGAAAGTAACCCATATTCTTCCCTTTTCTTTTACGTATAGCACCCTCGGGAAGCATTTGCACACATATTGCCATAGAAGAACTTTGTCTTGGTTTGTATTGTTCTATCATTTCATGTAGGTTTTATCACCCAACTCTGCCACTACCTTATACTACATATTGTCCGGAATTTTATATAAATTCTATCCCGGAATAGCTAACAACACCGAAACCCTACGAACCGCATGCACCTAAAAAACGCTGGAATTTCCAAATAAAATTGTCATAAGCGCTAAGGCCGGTTCGTTTCTAACGACGCTGGAATTTCTAACAACGCCGAAAGCCCTACAATATCAAACCATGAAATGAAATAAGTTATCATAATAATATGTTCGAACTGAATCACCACACCATAAATACTCAAATAAGTGCCAAAAGACGCCCACGCCCTTCGACTCGGCCCTCAGCTGCTGTACGTGCGTCTACTTTGGTGTACCTTAGCGAACTGCCGCCACGCCCCTTTCTCCACCTGTGAGTGAAACGAGTCGACGTGAGGGTTCAGTCAGCTCGTCCGAACCCAAGCTTTTAACTTGTTCGTACAGAGTATTCTGTATTTGCAGAGGAAATTCTTTTAATTAAAAATATTCTTTGCATAATTGAAAAAAAATATTCACGTGATTTAATAAATGAAACATAAATCTCCCTTTTGGATTGGCCATCTTGTCACGAGTATTAATAACAGGGTTCGGAATACAATCTTTAACTAAAAAATAACAACAAAGCGAAGAAATTTAACTTTACCTGGACACAAAACGAGATAGCAAAGGTTTTTGCCGAGCACCTGACCGGAATTCATACATAGAAGAGATACATAGAAGTAAAGGGTGGACGAGTTTTTTCCACTTCGCTTAGTAAGATTTTTACTGATCCAAAGTGGAGTGCCGACCCGTTGACTTTAAGACTTCTGCACATACTAAAAAAAATACAGTTCTGTGAAAGAGAATACGAACATTGTATAGTTTTTAGTCTCAATTAATTTTCAGCAATTTAAATGTGACCCTTAATTTCCTAATCAAAATAAACAAAATGAAATAAATGCGCAGAGTTCTCCATAGCCTAATATAGCAGGAGAGTTGAAGCAATAGCCATCGTGAGTTATGGTGTCTGTAGTCTCGCGGTTTTGTAGATTTTCGTCTGCTCGCGACGATGAATAGTGACAACCGACTATCGGATGTCATAGTCTTTCCACGGCATTAGTGTAGCAAGAAATTCTTCACCCTTAGAAGAGAAGGCCATAAAGGCGAAGACCAACTGAATTGAATGACTACCAGGTAACTGCTCATTCAGAAGTGCGAGTGTGGCTGGATTTTTATACTCGGGAGGAATAGTGTGAGTGCCTCAAACTGAAGATAGTAGATAGGAAAATGTTGAGAAAGAAATCATTGAACAGTAGTTAAATACCAACAAAATCTCACCCGTTCCATTCAAGGTAACATTGTGCCATGGACGCCAGCCAATTCTCTGTTCTTTTACTCGGCAATTTGTTTTTCTCTGTTCGGCGATATTTCTGGAATTTACTTGTATCACTGGCGATTGAGATGAAGAAATGAACGGAGTACTCTTGGTAAAAAGATTGATACCAATAAGGACAATTTTTCTTTGTAACGTAATAAATATGGTAGAATCTGTACCGATGTGTCAAATTTTCCATAATAGTATATATTAAAGGAAAACAAACTTTCGTCGCATATTGCCGCATAAAGCGATAACGGGGTAAGGTGCCATTGAGCGTGATGGGCCATTGTTATAGAGAGGGCAGGGATTTACATATAAATGTATAACTGCTGATTACTCATTCTATTTTTATCTATCTTTTACTTTTTTATTTATTATCTTTTGTATAGGGAGGAACCGGATTCTCCATAAAATGGGACATACCTTATATCTCGTTGCTATCTGCACTCATGCTTATGTCTATACAAATACATGGTACACAAACCTAGCTATCTCTTTTACATAAATAGTTACGGCCGGCCTTCCTAATTCGAAATCGCGAACGCCGGTGAAACGAAATTTTGAATTATGTCCATCTTGAAATGCGTTTATCATTATTGCTTGTCATTTTACCTATAATTTGATAAAATCAGGAAGGTGATATAACACTGACGGTAAAAATAGACCATATTTGGGAATAACAAGAACCAAACGTTCTGTTTGCTATTGTTACCCTTAAAATGGCATACGTTTTCTTTCACTCCTTGTACAACTGCCCCTGTAGGTGAACCTTATTTTGCTGCATATAATGATTTAAATTCTATTCCCTGAGAGCGTTTTATATTAGAACAAAGAAAAAGAAAACGTCGTAAGTAGAAAATTAATATATAACGCATATGATAGATACAATATCTATGTAAAATAAAAACAAACTTATTCAATAAATAAGACAGTCACTCATCCAACATCGGGATAGACAGAAAACGTAAAGTATTTTTAGTGGTATCTAAAGTAAACGTAATTTAGCTCTTAAATAAATATTAGGGTGATTCAAGGGCACAATGTTGTTAATGAAAACAAAGGTTATAGTATTCATATAGAGAACAACGTTGCTAAATAATTATATGTTTCAGCAAAAACTTTGCATAACAGGAGATCTTGGTAATTTCATTGGCAGAAGTACTATTGTCCTCTGTGTCCATTTACTCACAAGCATATGGCCATATGTATGTATATTTGTATATATACATACTCGTACATACTTATATACATACATGCTTATATACATACTTACATACATACATACATACATACATACATACATACATACATTATATACATATATACATATGTGTGTGTCTGTATCATTTTATCCTGTTTTTCTTTTTAATTATGTATATGTTTTTATTCTTTTGTGTTATTAGAATTATTCTATTTATCTTGATCATATTATCACTATTTTTGGCTAGTTTTCTTTCACGTTATTGTTGCCATTCCATTTCAAAACTATATTAAAGCCATTTCATCATTCCATTGCTTTTACTTTGGTTTTCTCTTATATCGTATTTAAGTTAAAGCATTCGAAGTGTTTTCAGTGCATTTCGTCACTGATTTGTTTGTATATATATATATATATATATATATATATATATATATATATATATATATATATATATATATATGTATGTATATAAACACACACACACACACACACACACACACACACACACACACACACACATATATATATATATATATATATATATATATATATATATATATATATATATATATATAATTTATGTATTTACCTACTTGTGCTAAGAAATAATATTCTATACAATTTCTAGTTATGATTTGGATTTTGTATAATTTTGATATATATTCATAGTTTTGTAAAATTTCTAACTACAATACTGAAACATCCAAAAGGACACAGAACACCCTCCTATATGGTTTCAATGTTCCTCTTTTCCCACTGAGCAGCTTACTTCTATTTCAAAAAAGGAAAGAAATCCACTACTTCAGTATATATATATATTTTTTACTATTTTTTTCTTTTTTTTCATCTTTTACTCCTTTCCATGTCGTTTTCGGTTATGTACCTTCTCCCGGTATGTTCCTGGGAATTCTACATTAAAACACTATCTTTCTTATATCCTGACTTTATATCATTGGGTTATACACAAATCGAACGGTAAACTTATACACATATCTTACTATATAGTGAAAATAAATGCCTTTAAAAATGCTTTAAAAATGCCTTTAAAAATGCTTTAAAAAATGCCTTTAAAAATGCTTTAAACTCATTTTCCCATCACCAAACGATCCTCGCTCGCCGGTTCAGTGGAGACCTACGTATGCTAACATGTCCGCCAACGCCCTTCTCGAATCCTGCAGTCTATGTAAAGATAAGAAGCGTTTTCAGTCGATGCATCAGTATAACCGTCGTGAAATGGGGCCCTGGAGAAACCTTATACAAATTGGAAGGTGTGAAAGCCGGCTAAGTTAACGCTTTTTTGGGGAAATAATGTAGGTTAATACCTTGTTTATTTCGGCTGTGTTTTGTTTTTACCATAACGGTATCGCATCAGTATCGCTTTTTTGGTCTGTCATTGTTGTGTTTATTTCCCTTCTTGTTTTTCGTTATTTCTGTTTATTTATTTATTTTTTTTTGTTTCGGATTTATCAAGATCATTGCTGTTGTTATGATCTATTGCTTGTCAGTTGCATTTCCTTGTACTAGTTGTATAAGTAGGTTGAACGTGAATGTCTTAGTAACTTGCTTTTTATTCTTATCTAGTGTTTTTGATAGTGAACACCATTATCATTAGTAGCAAAGTTGTGTTTTTGTATTGTGTCTTGAGTTGTGTTTTTGTATTGTGTCTTGAGTTGTGTTTTTTGTATTGTATCTGCTTTATTACTGTATTTGCTGTCCAATTATCATTGTTGTGCTATTTAGCTGTGTTTGCATGTTTGCCCATTTCATTGTTCTTCCTGTTATTTCTCTTCTAGTTTTGTCTCGTATCTTTATTCCACTTCATGATTTACTTCATATCATAGCATTTACATATATAACAGATATCCTGTGAGGTTGAAAAATAATTGAAACAAGGCATTTTACATTACATGTACTTTTACTTTCATCTGACATACATAACTGTGCAAACATACAGAATGCACATGTGGGTACTCTATTGTAACTATAATTCATACTTGCTATGAAAATAATAACATATGATGATCATGACACGTTTACAGCTATGTAACTCTTGCTCAGTGTAACATATGAACTTTGAAGCCACGTGCAGTTGCAGACACGAGAAACAGACACAGCACTGGAACCTACCAAGCGTGCCTGCTTCTGATCCTCAACTGTACAATGGTGCTGGAATAATGCCAGGGGGTGGGGGGGTGGTAAGAGGGGGAGTTGTGAAACAATGTATGGATATATATTATTTATAAAAAAATAGAATAGCCATAATCGTGTCAAGAGTGAGTACATGAGGAAGACTCCTTTTTTTTTGTTTTTGTTTTGTTTTTTTGTTTTTTTCTTACAGTTTGTGTCTACCAGATGCAGTCACTCTTTCATGAAACGAAAACAAAAACAAAAAAAAAACGAAAAAAAAAAAATTGACAATGAGTAATAGAAACAATGAAAATGAATTTGAAAGTAATGAATGAAAATGAATTAATAGTCGAGATGTAATATGGCTGAAAAATAGTATGTACAAATCAAAAGTGAACAGTTGTTGCCTGTCGATGCATCAATTCAAATAAGAGTGCAATATACACTAAGAAAAATATAACAATTTTCAAAAACTTTTCAAAAAGTCATTGCTGAATATTCACACATTTCAGTACATTCCCCTCTCTTCCTAGAAAATACAACTAACCAATAGACTAAATATGTATAATTTTTTTTTTTTCCTGCATCAGCATTTACGTCCTGGGTAGCAAATATTCGTAATTTTAACCATTACACCGCCTTTGTATCACTGAACTATGCTTATTCCTAACGAATAAACTCTTTTTTACAACAAACAGTGAGCCATCAGAAAGACGTACATATCAACAAAGGCTACGATACGGGCCGAACATTTGGAATAAATTCACAGATGAAATTTAACGTAATACATCCAATACATATAACCACAAATTCTTCGTTCTATCATCAATTAGTGATATGTAAATCAAATTTATTGGCCTCTTGCAACCTGCAACACTATTCTCCCAAATATATAAAAAGGTCTAGAATGTAGTTGCATGCAATGATGTTGATTAAATGATATGATAACATGTATAATCTTAATTGGAATCCACAGAAATAAATACACTTTGAATAGTAATCTTACATTACTAAATATGAGTATAATTTGATGTAGATGCCTTTCGCGGAAATTCAAAACTTCACATTTCGAATTCCGAAGGACACCATCTCCTGAAATACCTTTGTCATGCGGAGGCTTACAAAGAGCAGTCAAATATTATGATGAAAAAGTAATAACCACGATTTCGAAATTTAAGAATGAAGAAAAGAAAAGAAAAAAAAAAAAACAGCATATCGGTTGTAAATCCTGAAAATACGTATCTAATTGTTTTTTTTTATTTATTTAAAGAATAAAAAATAACAATAATATTGTCTCTTGATTCATTGTACTTGAAGTTACTGACGACTAATATAAAAAAAAAAAAAATACAGAAGCCATTATCAAGAGAAAGTTGTCTTACAGCTGTAAATTATAAGGTGACTAGATGAAAACAGGAATGAAATTCAATCTACAAGACACTGTAAACAGTCACTGAGCATGGCGAAACTGCTCTCAAACAGTAAGGCAGAATCCGCGCCGCTATCTTGGCCCAAGACGCAGGACTCAAGACGCGCACTGAGGAAACGTAACATCGTGACCAGCGTCCACCTGACCAAAGACTCGCGTGCTGCCATCTAACGGTGGACATGGAAAAATAAATAGGTGTTTTCTTAGCTTGTCGCTAGATGGCTCTGCGAGAATGAACGCAAGGGCTGCTCATTATTTTTTTTTTTTTGCTTTTTTTCACAGATATTTATCAGATTTTCTTTGAGGGAAGCGTCGGGAAAGAGGGAGATCATGATGGAGACTACTCCTTTTCGTCTTAGATTATATATATATATATACATACATATATATATATTCAGGAAATAAAATAAATGGGGGGAGGGGGATCAGAACTGTCGATTCTGATGATCGTGTAATGCAATACTACTTGAATGTCAAAGTAAAAAAATAATTTCTACAGTGTTGTGCTATGAGTAAGTTAGGAGGTAATAGCTTGACTCGAATGACAAAAAAGGGAAGGAGAGAAAGCGGAAAAGGCGGAGACTAAAAGATTGGAAGGCGGTAGAACCCACATTAATATATTTTTTAGTATTGTTTCCCCTTTTTGGACCAAACAGTATGACACGTACGATTGCATTCAAAAAGCAATTGAAATGACAAATAATATGACTTTCCTTCACCCAGATACAAAATTTGAATGTTCGAATATATATATGATAATTGATGACCCAACTTAATCAAAACTATTTAAACATGAAGACAGATAATAAAGTAAAGAAGGTAAACAACAAATTGCCTTTCCAATCTTAGCCTGTGTTGAAGGGACGAGAAAAAGGAGCTAATGACAAAAGACTAATAGTGTTCTGACACTTGAGTAATTTGCACTTTTTTTCGAGACAGTGTATGCCAATGAAAACGTACCTGAAGAAAACAACAGGTTCGAAATTTCGTTTGATCAAAACTTCCCTCCATATTTCTTAAGTTTTTTTTTTACGTCTTTTTTAAAACCCCATCACAATTCCCCAATATAACATATATCATGTTTTTTTCTCACAAAAAATACTCTCCTATTAGCAAAGTTTATATCACACAATTAAGGAAGGCCAAACCAGGCACAGTTCTATTATTTTTTTCACATATACATAAGAAAAGCGACGCCAAGTGACTCTCCCGCTTTCAAAGACCATTCGATCACCCTGAAAGACCCATTCGTAATGGAGTGAAATCCCCTTTGAAAGCGAGGGAATCCCAAGGCGTGTTTTGCTGTGCTGGAGCCCTCTTGGACCATTCTCTTGGGATGTGAAGATAAAAAAAAAAAAGAAAAAAAGAAAAAAGAAAATTGAAACACCGACGTGGGTGTCCTCCACTTCAGTATAAACTTCCACAAGTCTACGGCACATGGTACGTCACAACACCTACGGCTCTAAGAAATTAAACGGAGAAAATCTGGTGTTCTGATCGAAGCTACGCGGAGCCCCAGAGGAACGGTTCTCTTCCTCGTCCGCACGAAGAAATGTCAGTTCTTCGGCGACGGGAAAAGTCCTCTTAAGGTCTAATGTCCTTTGAATGCCCGACCTTCGAGCCCAGGACAAGCCGGCTCGTGTCTCAAAAAAAAAAAACTATTCACGAGGAAAATCCCAAATTAAGAATGTCAATCGCAAACACGACGACTGCATTCCACTGACGGCACAACTATGTACACATACTTCTCTTAAATTTTCTCCCCTCGTCTCTCCTTTAAAAAAAACGCCACACCTTGAACGGCTTTCACTTCTCCGTTCGCTCTGGAGGGAACGACGGAAGTTGTCCGTTCTCCTCACACGCTGTTGCCTCCGTAAGCCGACTGCTTGAACATGGCAGTGATTTCGTCGATGGAGCGGCCCTTCGTTTCCGGAACCTTCTTCCACGTGAACAGGATGAACAAGGAGAGAAGGATGACGAAGATCAGGAACACGTAGGGGCCGATAATCTGGAGATAGAGAGAAAAAAAAACGGGGCATTAAACAGCGTGAACAAATTGACTTGTTTGTCTATGTATAATGCGTTACTGTAGGTATAAAAAAGTTTATCATCATGAAATGAACTTTATATTTTTTTTCTTCTAAAGCCATAAAAATAAGCCTTCTTTCATGCTAAGTGATTTTAAAAGCGTCCCTCTCCTTCCGTCCCATCTCGAGGTCAAAACGCCCCGCCGAACTCACCTCCTGGATGGGGAGGAAGCCGAGGCCGACGATGAAGGCGGCGGTCCAGTTGACGGCCACGGCGATCGAGGACGCGACCGGCCGGGCGTTCTGGGCGAAGAGCTCGGTCACGAGGAACCAGGGGATGGATCCGGGCCCGACGGCGAACATCACCACGAAGAAGATGACGAGGAAGATGGACAGGAAGCTGATCCACGAGGCGAGGTCCTTGAGCAGGAGGCAGATGAACAGGAGGAGGACGTCGACCAGCATGCCGAAGAGGCCGGCGAGCATGAGGGTCTTGCGTCCGAACTTCTCCACCATGACGAGGGAGCAGATGGTCATGAGCACGTTCATGGTGCCCATAGCGATGGTGGCGTTCAGGGAAGCCTCGTCGCTAAGGCCGGCAGCCAGGTAGATTTTGGTGGAGAAGAAGATGACCTGGAAGGAACCGGGCTAGTTAGAGGAAAGCCTTGCAAAACATTGCTAGAAATATTTGTCCATTGTAGTCGAGACAATTGAAAAATGTCATACTCTTCTCAAAACACTAACGACAGAGAAGAGCTAAGAATCACCTCTCCCATCCACCCACACCCACACCCCCCTACCCCCACACCCCCATACCCCCCTCCCCACCACCACCACCACCTCCCAATACTTACAGCGTTGATACCGGAGAGCTGCTGGGCGATCATCATCATCATGGAGATAACCAGAGGGATGCGCAGAGTCGGGTTGGTTGTGATTTCGCGCAGAGACACGTGGGGGACCAATTTGGCTGCCTCTGCTTCGTTCCTCATCTCGCCCATCTCTTCTTGCACGTTGCTTGTGTCGCGGAGCCAAGTGAGTGCTGCAGAGAGGGAGAGAGGAGAGAGAGAGAGAATAAGTGAGAGGGAGGTTGGATCTGGGATATTTTTCGCGAATAATTCTAACACCGATGATATATATATATATATATTTTGTGCTAAGGAAAGAGTAGATAAGAAAAAAGAAAGAAGAAAACGAAGATAAAGAAACTAGGGATATTTTACACGAATAATTCTAGCTCCGATATATATATATACTTTTTTTCTTATTCTGAAGAGAGAATGGGAAAAAAAAATCATGAAATTCATTCTCAAAGTCAAAAAATAACACGAGATTCAAGGGTAAAGAAACTTCACAACCAACTCACCACGCTGGGCAGAAATAGCTTCTTCCTTGTTAATCAGGAGGTACTTGGGAGATTCGGGGCAGATTGGCAGAGTGACCAGCTGGAAGACGGCGGGCAGGGCGGTCAGGGCAAGGAGGATAGGCCACAAATCTGCCGTTCCGAGGATGGACTCCAGACCCATGATCTGTGAGAACTGTAGGGGAACAAGACGAGAGAAAAAAAAATCGTGGTTATTTTGAATCCTTTACTGGGGGTTTTCATTCATATTTAAAAATCCAAGGAGCAGATGTCTTTCGAATACTTCATAGTATAGTTGTAATAAGTCAATAACCTCAGTTACATAATCCACACAAAGTCACATGGTAGCATCCTAAATAGACAAGTATACCCCCACCCTCCCACACACACACCCCATCCCATGCCGAACCCCGTTTTCTACGAAGCCCCTCAACTCACCAGGATGGAGATGGTGACGACAAGCTGGTAGACGGTACCGATGGCGCCTCGGAGATTCACGGGCGCGATTTCCGACAGGTACATCGGAGCCAGGCCGGCGTTAAGACCGTTGTTGACGCCGATGAAGAAACGAGCGATAATAATCATGACGTAAGAGTTGGCCAGTTTGCAGAAACCGAAGAAGATCGCAGCGATGATGGCGAAGATATTGTTCATGAGGAGGCCTCCTTTGCGGCCGAACCTGCGGGATATTGATTTGCTTTTTTAAACGCAACGCAGACGCGCCAACACTATCCCAAAATCACACAAATCTTAAAAAAACA